TTCAGGTAACCCAATACTCTTCAACTATTCTCATTCTGTACTGAGTTTAAGATGAAATGAACCCAGACAGTATTATAGCAGAGTTCAGTTATCTGCATGGCATCTATAATTCATTATAAAGTTTCATTACTGGAGTAGTGGAGCAGCATATTGTGGAAGACAGTGCTCTGGATGAGGAGTCAGGAGATCAGGATGCTTGGTGCTTTCTAGCTTCATCAATTAGTAGTTGTACAACCCCTGTATAAATCAACCTTCTCTGTTTCTTTACCTCTAAAGTGGGAGGGAAGAAGAATTACTCTATATGCATTATGATGACCCAAAGACGCAACGAGATAATGGCTACTTGAGCTTTTACCATGGGCCCCAGCGTTAGCATAAAATTAAGCATCCAGGCAGATTGAAATTGTGGCCAGTCAACTTGGAACATCCTCTGGTAAATGAGACTTAGCACAGACTCTACAAGAGCAGAGGACTACACAGATTGCCTGAAAATGTCATTTAGCCTCAGAATTCTTAGCATCTGCTGATTCCCTCAGGTCAGTGTGTTAGAATGCCTAATCTGATGAAAGTTGTTTCCCTCTTGTCTAATTTTATATTGCGTCTTCTCCAAATGGAGTTGAATAAGACACAGAGAACACTGGAATCTGGCCTAACACCTGTTCTATTTTGGCCCTGGAAAAGTAAGCCCTCTTAGATGGCTTTCTGGGCCAGCTTCATGTTGCTTCTGCTTGTTGAAAGACATTGGAAATATCTGTGTCTCAGGCAGAACTGATTCCCTAGAGTTTAATGTTTCTTGATTTGTGATCACATGAGGATTCTCTTTTGTGGATGGTGGAGTTCCCTTAAAGGTACACCTCTCCTAGGATTTATGCAAAATGGGACCACTATCCTGGGTGTGAATGGGCCCCTCTTCTGTACAACTGAGAACAAGGCCACAGAGCAACTCAAGCTGGGGATTTTCTAAGAAAAACTAGCCAACCACTGCATCTGTTCACTTTGTAGCCCAGCTTCTTCATGTGGTCTTTCAGTGGTTTGAAGAAGGTACTTTGCTGGTGACCATTGAGAACACAGGCTCTGGAAGTGGGGAGGAAAGAGGACTGGAGGAGGATGGTTGAATTTTAACATTTGATGGGAATGAGTACTCTTACTCAGCTCCTCACTCTGTGAGGGATCAGAGCACCCCTGGCCTGGCACCCTCCTCACCAATAGCCTCTTTCCCTAGAAAGCTTATCTCGTCCTCCCTCAGGCCAGAGTAGGTGAGTTTGAAGTGAAATTTATTCTTTTAAATTGAATTCCTTGTTTCTCTGTCATTTTCAAGTATTCCAGGCCAAATTTGTGCTTAATTTTATCCGGCAGTTCTATGAATGACTGAACAACATCCTCACTTTACTTTTCTTCTCTGAACTAATTCTCCCCATTTCCTCCAACTAGTCCTCACTGAGCATTTACTCCAGAAGCAGAGTACACACTTGCCTTGTGGACACTACAGTTTCTAAAATGCCAACTGTGTAGGGTACAAGGCCTTTTGTCTGGGTCCTAGAATAAGGCAATCTTCTGTAATGACTTCAATAGTCTCTTACATAAAGAGTTGGGACTTTGCGGGTCTCAGGGTTGATTTACTACTCAGATGGGAAACTTTGAACCCAGATGCTGAGATTAAGGTCTGATGTGTGGTCCCTGGGGCAATTCCTACGTGAAGGCTGACATATATTCACTCCAGTTTACATGGTGACACCCTTTCAGAGACTTTAAATCTTCCAGGCCTTGATGGCAGTTCTAAGAGAATGAGAATTACCTCCATGTTCTCCAGAACAACATTTTCTGGCTTCTTCCTAATCTAGACCAAAATTCCTAACTGGTGACTTGAATGCCACCTGCTCGAGTAACAGCTTCATCCGGGTTGCTTCAGATAGGAGCAATTACATGTTCTCTTACCGGAGAACTTTCCATTCTCTTGAGTTAATATGACTCCAGGCTGTAGCAGGGAATTAGCAGATAGAATATAGAGTCTGACCTCAGAGGCTTATAAAAGAAAGAAAGAGACACCGAAGACTGAAATCACTTCCTAGCATTTCCTTTCATCTGTTGCTGAAGAGTTTGCTTTGCTGATACCACCACATACTTCCTTAGAAACCACTACCCAGGCTCCTGCGGGCTTCTGCTCTGTAGCAGTTACTGAGCAGAGCACTGATGTGGCACTAAACAGTCTACTCAACAGTTGTCTGAAAGTCCCTGCCCAGCAACTTCCAGGCCAAGAACACATACCACAGGGTCAGAGCCACCAGAGGTAGTAACTCGTTAGTAGTTTGTAGGAGAGGAACAGTCTAAGGGGTGTTACATTAAGGCCTGTAGTTTTGTACTGAATTAGTGGCAGGATCAGTATTTGAACCTGGTTCTCTTTACTTGTGATTCCAAACTGTCTAATATAATACTACATATGTGAAAATATAGATTTATATTTATAAACACATAGATGTATGTGTTTAAGCTTTATACTTGTAGAAGGCTTTATTTTACTTGTACCCTCTAATTCAACTCTCAGTCTTTTTTTGACAGGTAAAGAAACTGAAATATAATCACACAGATATCACATCTGGGGTCAGACCCAGGCTTTCTGGATCTGTTTGATCTCAGTGGGTGCTTACCGAGTTCTTCTTTAGGGTCCCTGTGGAATGAAATTCGGTTTTCTTTATCCCTCTCTCACAGTCTTCACAAAATTGTAACAGAACTCCTCACTAATATGCTGAGAAGGTGAAGTACAGGACAGTGAAGTGTGAACACCAGTGTATCATGATCAGTGAGAGTTAGTCACCTCAGGTACCCTAAGGGCAGGCATATGTAGGAAAAGGCCATAGCATTGGGGCAAGTAGGTTGAAAGACTGTACCCTTAGTTGCTGGGGAAACATTTTCATTAAAAAATGCTATCCGCTTACCATCATCCCCTCTGATTACATGGTTCAGTTTTTTAAAAAATATTTGATTTATTATTTTTATTTTATGTGTATGTATGTATTGCCTGTGTGTAGGTAAGTGCACCCATGTCGTGCAATGCCCGCGGAGGACAGAAGAGGCGGAAGACAGAAGAGGCTGTCGGATCCCCTCGAACTGGAGTTACAGACAGTTGTTAGCTGTCATGTGGGTGCTGGGATTCGAACCCGGGTCTTCTGCAAGAACAACCAGTGTTAACTGCTGAGCCATTTCTCCAGCCCACATGGTTTAGTTTTTATGCTATTTGTAGCATTTGTTTTTATAAAATCATAATCTTTAACATGTAAATAAATATAAAAAAACAGTCTTAGGAAGAACAACTATTTCCTCTTTTCCATGAGTCTGGAGTTTCGAATTGAGGACAAGGAAGGAGACGACGGATGTTATTCGGTATTTAATACGTGCCTGGAACCTTACATAAATTACCTCATATACCCAGCTTCACATGAGAAGAACCCGAGGTTCACATGGGTTATATAACATAAGCTGCCTTGTGCAGAGCAAGGATTGATAGCTTGGCCTGCTAGACTAAAGCCCTCTCAAAGTGCTCATGGTCCTCCTGACATGGGACACACTCAGCACCCAAGCTCTTTGGTTTTAGGGGATCTAACCTGTCACAATTAATCACTGCTGAGGAGTCAGCCTTTTTGTCAGAAATAGTGCTACAACCCATTGTTGAATGGTAGCAAGAGACTTAAACACATTCATGGTCCTCAGAAAAATCAGACCCAAGATGAAAATTTTAGGGCTGCAAAGGACCTTATCAAATACAGAGCAACCCTTGATTTCTGTGACTGCAGGAACAGACTAGGAGACTCAGGATTCATCCAGGTCACACAATTCTTTTGTGCTGAATCTGGGACCAGCACTGGGCCTCCTGTGTCTCATGAACGTTGGGGATTCAGCATGCCAGTCACAAACTATGGAGATGTAGAGAGAGTAATAAGACCCTCTAGAGTCCTGCTGATACAGACAGGATTCAAAGAAAGAAAAGTACTTGTACATGTAGTCAACAGAAAAAGCCAGCATGTGAAAATGCAGATCTAGGGTGGGCTAAAGAGATTCAGTAAGTGACTTCCCAGATTGTTTTGTTCCCATTGCACATACAGTTGGAAGCCAAATGCAAGCCACCAAGGTTGCAGCGAAACACTGAACAATTATAGCACAAATATTTGTGGGCAGCTGTGGGAGTGCAAGCCACCTGCTCCAAGTTTACAGCTTTGTTAAACTTGGTAAACATTAAAAATGGAATGGGAACGCCCCTGGTCTGCACAGCATCCCATACCCAGCCTGAGAGGCCTTGTTCGGGGAGCTGGGGTGACTGCCCTTGACCAGGCTTCTTCTCACTACAGTTCAGCACTTCTATTGGTTACATCAGTGTTGCCAAACAGGCTCTAGTAGAGACTGAGGGAGGCAGGGTGTGTCACAGACTCAGACTTATAGTTTGAAGGGGCTACAGGGATACCAGAATATAATTTCTCTCCTGTTGTTCAGATGGATAAACAACAGATCCAGCAACGATAAGCCCAAAGTTATTAAGTTAATGGCAGAACTGACTCTTGATATCTGAACTTTGAACCCCGATGATGAAAGAAAGAAGGGTCATAACATTATAGAATGTTACAGATAGAAGGGACATGGATTTCAACTACCGGGATTTTTGATTGTCACATGACCAAGGCTACTCCTGGCATTTAGTAGACAGATGTCAAGGATGCTAAATAGCCTGCCATGTGACAATCTGGCATAATGAGAACTGTTGAGAAATATTTTGTTAACTGTTAGACTTTGCAGTCAAATCTAAACCTGGAGATACAGAGGGACTTGACTATAGATTCCCCCAAAAGGACTTGATGTTCCTTCACTTTGGAGTACCTATCCTACCCCATCCCTTTGAGTCCTAGAGTGAATGTGTAGCAACGATGTTGCCTTCAGTAAAACGGTGACTCCAGCTCCCTCCCCATTCAGCTCCTGCACACTTGATCCTAAGTTCTTTCCAGCTTGGCTCTTACTTGGACTTTAGGCCCTCCTGCCCATAGGGCTGCAGCAGATACTGGTGCACCAGCTTGTCCCTGAGAGTCCCAGCCAGTTTGATTTTCTTTCTTGATCGATGTAGGTTGATGATGAAAAGTGTAATGGAGCCACGGACATAGTTGTGACTGAGGAGAGAGAGAGGGAGGGAGGGAGGGAGAGAGAGAGACAGAGAGAGAGAGAAAGAGAGAGAGGAAACAACATGGTTAGTGGATGTTGCTAAATAATTTTTAAGCTGCAGAAAACAAGACCATTCCAGAAAAGAGCATTTGTTTTATGGATCTTCCACAATAGACCCTGAAGACGGACCTGGTTATATTGTGGTCTCCTGAGAAGAAGATACCTCTTCTCACAACAATGTTTTTGTTTAAATTTATTGCAATTATCTTAGAAAACATATATACACGTATATTTGAGTATGAAGGTAACATATGATGATTGCTAAAAAATAAAACGGGAAAAATAGAAAGAAACATGAAAAAGAAATTCCCCATAGTCATTTAATCTTGAAACACAGCATTTTAGTAAACATCTAGTATTTTTAGTTATTAGTTTGAGAAATATTTATTAAGTACTTTGATGTATGCAACTATATTGCTCAGGTTTTATCCTAATTGGGATCAAACTATTCACATAGCTTTTTTCAGTTAATGAATATCTCAATTACGTTCCCCTGTCATTATAGTTTCTTTTACTTATAGAATAACAATGAATGTTTCAATCATAGAAATGTAATTTATTCAGTCACCTCCCTACTTTTGTGGATTTATGTTGTTTTCAATTTTTGCCATTATAAATTACATTGTAAAAGTTTCATTTAACGTAAGATTTTTGTATGCAATAGTTATTTCTAATGGAAAAAGTCCTAGAAGCTGGAATCATCTTTTCCCATTTTTGCCAGCCCTGGAGGTGCTCTTTTCTTTTTTATCATATCAGAATACCAGTTATCCTGACAAATACACATTTTGATAATATTATCTGGACAGTTTGTAGATATTTGTTTCTGTCAGCTCTGTATTAGAATTCCCATTTCTGCATGCCCTCGGAACACTGGAATATCTTGGCCAACCTGAGAGATGAAAATGGGATCCTACTGTTGTATGATTTTGTATTCTACTTCATAGCGTAGGATTTTTATTTGCCCAATTGCTATTTAATTTCTTCTTTTGTAAGATGCCTATTCACATCCTTTGCCCATTTTTCTATTATTTATAAAATGATTTATTTTTAAGGACCTCAACTCTTTATAAACACGTGTACTACAAAATTTCCCACTTCCTTTGACCATTTCAATTTATTGATAGTATATTCTGATATATAGAAGTTTAGAATATTTATGTTGTCAAATTTATTTTTTTGCCTTTTGTGTTCATTATTTTACTTACCCCAAGATTATAAAACTAGTCACCATTTTGGAATCCTTTTATACCAGAACAAAATGTCTAGAACCATGGGAGAACTACATGCCTACATGCACGGGCCTTTCAGCATGTATCAGCAAACTGTAACGATTTCCCTCCTTCTGAAGGAAAAAAGACTTGTTTCTAAGGGGTCCCTTTGGGCTCCATCTGGATGGGTTAATGAGAGGAAGCAAAAAAACAAACAAACAAACAAACAAAAAACAAAACAAAAACCCAGCCCAGCCTTCAAAAGAGGAGTTCAGAGAAACTCTAAGTCAGCTTTGCCCAGAGGAAAACGTTGCTTGTAGACACAGCACCCCTTGATCCCTGGGTCACTCATCTCTGTTTCTAAAGAGGCTAATTAAGAGCCAAGCAGCTAATGGCAGGTTAGTAGGACAACTCAGGAGTTTTTTAAGGAAGTACAGTTTTCATGGCTCTTCCTTAGAGATTGTGGTTCAATTCAGTTAGACTTGTGGACTGGGAACCTATATTTAAAAAAAAAAAATTCTGAGATACTTGGATGATGAGTTGGGTTTGGGGCCTACTAACTTAGAACAACACACTAAGGTTAGGGGAACTCCCAGAATATCCACCTAGCTGCACATCAGATGTTTTCCCCTCGCATCCATAAGAAGGTATACGCTTATATTCAAGGCTTTTTGGATGCCTGCATTTCTGTTCTGATAAATTATGAAATAACTCCCTTGTGCAGTCCTGTCCCTCCTCCAGTCCCTTCTAGTCCTCCACAGCATGAGAACTAGATTTTGTAACCAAATGATTCAGAAGAGAATGCTAATTGATTTGAGCAGACTTGTGTCACCAGAGTTTTGAAGAAAGATGCTGACAGCCGGTGTTGGTACTGACCACCAGTTCATTTCCATAGGCGGGCTATCAGCTCAGCTTACCTATGTGTAAGACTGAAGAAGACGTCATTAACTACAAGTACTTTGGGCTTTAAGAGTGTGAACAAACTAGGTATGGGTGGGTATCAATTTAGCTAGATTGCAGTAAACCCTTTTTTGTAAGCTACTATTAAACAACACTTTTAAAGGTCAGAAATAGAGGAGAAAGCATTTGCTTACATTTATGAGTTTCTCCTTGGCAGTGCTGGGGCAGAATATGCCTTTGGAGACTGCAGAAAGAAGGGTGGGATGTGAGGACCTGAGATCACAGCATTACTGTGGGGAAACAGTCTTTCCAAGCTGTTTGGCAAAGGTTTGATTTCCATGTACATAGTTCTCCTGGGAGAGACAAACCAGCACAGCCCAGAGACCAACAGGTTCTCACAGAAATCATGGTCCTTCTTAGGTGGGAACTGGTACTGAGGACTGCCTTAACCATCTCTCACCCTGCTTGGCTCATAGGCAAGGGCATGAAGCCGAGGCCTTTTGGCTGCAAAGACATATTCTTGGCTAGGGATTCAGCATCAACCCGAGAGTACTGTGTTGAGAATCCAGATTCCCAAAGATTGTATATTCTCTGTCCATAGGAAGCTAATCCTGGAAGAGTATCTATTTCTTATGAAAATGGTATCTGAAGGCTTTGGTCAGCAGGCCATTTTTCATGCCTGATGTTGTTAAGTGCTGGCGGCTTTTGGTTATCTTAGCGCATGCTCCTTTCTGGAAAGAAGCTGCTTCAGTAGAACATCTATCCTTCTCTGTGTCCCACTCATGGTGAGACTTTTTCACCAGCAGCCAATCCATGTATCTGGAGTTCATCTTTGCTGGCTGTTCTTTTCCAGCCTGACATCTTCTTTTTGTTGCCATGGGAGGAGGAGGAAGTGAGTCAGAGAAGAGAGGTTGGAATGGGAATATCCTGCATATAAGAGGTGGGAGATGTCAGATGGGAGGTGTGTCTTGAGTTCCAGATAGAAAACAGTCATGTTCTAGAAACATCTCCAGTGAAGCTGGGCTTCTGGGAAAAGGAAGGGAGGATGAAGCATCGCAGTCATTGATCATTCCCAGTGAAAGTTAATGTGCTTGAAAATTCAGTTGGTCCATTGTCTCCAAATCTAATTCAAAGGTTTTGGGTTCGGTAAAAATCAGGCCCTGTTTTGCGAAACATTTTTCCCCTTAATTTCAAAGCCCCTGTGTATTTTAAGGGAAATTTAATCCACATGTTTCTGATTCATTTACACTTAACTCATCAAAATATTGTTTTGTAAGAGTCATTTGATGTCCAAGAAGCCTCAGGAACCTTTTTTATGAGCCTTTAAAAAAACTTCTTCTGAAAAACAGGAAGTCATGTTTTGCCAATAATAAACGAATTTGAACCCCAAAAGGCTCAATTTTGCTTTAACATCCTCTATGTTCCAATTGGTTCTGAGTGTGGCTGATGACCACAGCTCCACCCCAGAAACATACATTGTCTCAGCAGACGGCTGTTAAAAACCGTTTGCTGTCAACACTTGATTGTTCTCTGAACAAGATCTAGGGTGAGAACTGTAGCTCTACCAGCTCTCTAACTCCTTAACTCCAGAACGGGAAGCACAAAGGCACCTGCTGGTGTTGGTGTAAGCACCTAACTTTTTCTCCTGAATCCATCTTAGGAGATGAGGTTCTGCTAGGTCAAAAATGATCCACAATGCAAGAGGCTGCCACGAGAACCACAAAAGTGTCCAAGTAGGTGACAGATGACTATCAGGGAGATGTGAAAGAGATTCCTGTGTTCAGTGAGACACTGGGCCAAATGACCTTTAAGAACTCCTCAAATGAAAAACTTTGCATCATTGATACTATTATTTAAATACAGGTGTGATACCATACAGCCTTCAGAATTTAAAGAGATAGTTTAAGTACATATACTAGCAGGCTTATATTTCATCTAGTTCCTATTTTGATCCAGGGTATTTATTTCAAACTATTATCCAAGGTTGATTAGCATGAAGCTAATGTGTCCACTCTGAGATGATTCTGTGATTCCTTGTAACTGTTGAGGGAGTGGGACACAGAGCACGTGTTTCCTAGAGGGGGAGCAGATGCTTCTCTGATCCTGTGCCTGCCTGTGGACACCTGACACTTGCTGCACGGAGGAGACCTGCAACCTCAGCTAGCCCACTGTGGGCATTTCTTCAGAGTTGAAGGAATGAAAGACCTTAAATTCAGTTCTTATCATTGGGGTGACACGGATTATGTAATTTTCTTTTAATGAGGAGGACAGACTATATTGATAGAAGCCTGGTGGAACCACTTCCCTAAAGAGGTTCTGGGAGAGGGTTCAAATTCAGAGTTGACTAACTTGGTGGAAGCTTCATAATAGTGAATGGAAGCATTTCAAATCACTTTATTACATCACCTCTTCTGGCTGATGTGGCGAGATTGAGGGCAAGAGCTGTAACTATAAATCAGTAGGAATGTTGTGATGCCCTCTTTCTGTCTTCTTTCGTTCCTTCATTTCTCCATCAAACATTTATACCAGTCTTCATGCCAGTCACTATATCAGACACTAAAAATATAAAGCTGTGAAGCACTAACCCTTAAATTCATAGAATTTTGTATTATATTATATTAATTATATTATTAGCGAGAACTGCTCATGAGAATTCTGAAGAACATTAGCGTGAACCCTACAATGAGCTTTCATGAGGAGCCAGCCCTCAGAGAACATTCAAATCCTGCTCAGTCCACATAGGAACTACTTTTTTGTCCTGGGTCCTCAGACAAGCATTATAAAGGCCACGGACTGGTGTGGTTTCCAATAGGGACAGAAGGTGCCAAGAGTAATTTTTCTCTCTTGAGGCTGGGGGTCCACTTTTGGGTGGTTGCCTCAGGGCCTGGCACAGACAGGGAATACAATGTTGCCTTGTGTGATGATCAGATAATTCTAGGCAAGGCCATAAAGCAGTCAGTCACTGTCAGGTATGGGTTTGAGCTTCCTGCTGAGCAAAAGGGATGTTGAAAGCTTCTGGCCTCTGCCCAAGACAGCCTCCCCTCCCCTACAATAGGCACTTGTATCTCCAGGCAAGACAACTGGCCCCTGGCCCCTCTCTGCTCTGAGTGAGTCTTTGAAACATCTTATCATGAAGAATTAACTGGCTTGGCTCCTGTCTCATCAAGGACAGAGAAGGAGCATCTGGTGTAATCTGACCATGGCAGCTCTTTGTGCTTCTCTCCCCTTGATCAGCCCTGATAGGCCCTGGCTGGAGGTCTGGCAGGAGGCAGGAGGCAGGAGGCCGTCCCTGCCCCCAGTTTTCTTTGCAGTAAGAGAAAGAATTCTCTTTTCCAGGGTAACCTCCTTTGCTTTAAACAGGAAGTGATGTAAGGCATCTTTGGCCAGATGGACTTTGCTTTAGGTCCAGCTTCAAATTTTTCCCTTATGGTCTTTGTGATTTAAACTTGAAAAAAATCTGCCAAACTTTATTCACTGACAATGAACTTGCCTGTTTGTTTTTAAAGACAACTCTAATGACACCCGGTACTTCAGGTCAAAAAGAGAGGGACAAACTAGCACACCACACAGGATTATTATATATCTAGCACTCCTGTCCCTCAAAAGGAAGTATACATTTCACAGATTTTTAACACTTAAAATAGATGACATTTTTGTACTACTGAAAGTGCCCCTAAAGCTAGCATGCTTCCCCTTGGCCACTCCTTTAGTTCTGAAGACCCCAGGGAGACCCTGGTCTAGGCCGGGTCCTGGTGGTACCACTCCCCAGTACACACCTTACAGAAACTTATTTCCTTAAGTTCTGAGGTGGGTCAGTGGATCAGACTTGGCCTCTCGCCTTGGCTTAGCCTTAGACACACATACACACACACACACACACACACACACACACACACACCACACACACAAACACATACCCCTTTGTGGGCATTACATCAGCTGGCACAAAGAAAATGCCCAATTTGTTGCATGAGTAAGAGAATGACAAATAGCGTGTGTTTTACAAACCTTTTATGAGTAAATCCCGTAAGTACGAGAAGAGAGGTTTACTTGGCAAAAAAGCTCTCAGGACTCATTTGAAACCTATGGAGAGGATGCTGACTGCTGAGGCAATGTTCAACTAAGATCAGCGGACAATGGTGAGCCTTGAAGGGTCCAATGGCATGGAATTCTAAAAGGGGCTGAAGCCCACTGGGATGGCTTTCCTTTTCTGTTGTTGTGAAGACTTACTTGTGGTGGTTTGTGCAGTGAGCATAGATCCTTAGTTTGTCTCGGATGACACGTCCTGGTCGTGGCTTCCGCTGGAGCCCAGCCACATGCACTGCCAGAACTTTAGGACCAATCAGACGCTTGTAAAGGAGAGAAAGCCAGTAATCCTGAGGAGAACAGAGAGGTGGACAGTCAGGGAGACAACTCACATGAAGGTGTGCTGAGTAAGCGTGACAAATACTTCAGGTCAGAAAGCACTTCCTGCAGGAGTACGGTATGGTTATCCCATGAAGAGCTGCCCTGGGCTGATAAGGAAGTGGGGACCCTCTGACATGGCCTTCCCACTAAGTGGGGAAGAGTACGTGGAGTAAGCTCAGAGCAGCATATAGACAAGTGAATCAAAGTGCTTCACAAATGAAACAAACTGTTAGAGGCCTTTTTTCCTATGACTTCACTTCCATACTAGTATATGGTTTCTGTTTTATTGTAGAATGGAAGATTTCTAATCTTTAGGATTGTTACCTTCGTGAGAATCCAAAAATAGCCTCCAAATATTATCACTGAGGACTTCTAGAAACGGGGAAGGAAACAAAGCTTCTCCAGGCAGGAGCCCAGGCTGTTCTCCATTCCAGAGCCAGAAAAGCAAACAGAAACACGTTTGCACACTATGGTGCTAATTCTTGGTCATTCTCAATATTCTACAATAAAAAGAATGATTCTAAACTAAAGAGAATTTCAACCAATTAATAAATATACATTATGTAGCCCACCCACATGCCTAAGCTTACAAAGAGTCTGCCTGCCACCACCTTAATTTCAGCTGTATTTGCTGTTATTACATTTTGTTTTTGTATTTCATACACATAAAAATTTACATTGCTGTTGTGTGAGCTCTTAGCATCTACTATTGGTTAATGAATTCATTATTTATATCTCACTATTTAAAACAGGCCTTCCTTATTTGCTTACCAAAGCCACACTCTAAATTCTGTAATTCAGGACATGCTCTTTGCTGATGTCACCTTTCCAAGCAGAAGCCCCTGGTGATCTATGCTTTTTATTGTGTGATTATCTATAAAATCAGTTGTCTGAAAATATCTGGCAAATTTCATAAATTAGAACAAGTTCCTCTAAGTCCCTTTGTCACTAGAATACGTTCACACCTGCCATGACTAATGTGTTCCAAGCCTTGCCCAACTGTTTAACCCAATTTTAAATGACCCTAGGATGACTGTCAAATAAGAACTCTCAGTACTTAAAACTCAGCTATTTGATCACTGTCAATCACATAGATGGAAAAATGTCATTGTCTTAATTCACTCTTATTTAATTATAATTTCTGCATTTTTTAATTCATGAAGTGTCTAACACATTCCAATACAATTTCCACCTTTTCCTAACTGATTTATGACATGACATTTTAAAAATAGTAAAACTTTGGGACTGGAGAGATGGCTCAATTGTTAAAAGTACTGGCTGCTCTTGCAGAGGACCTAGATTCAGTTCCCAGCACCCATGCGGCAGCTGACAACTGTCCCTAACTACAGTTCCAGGAGCTCTGACACCCTTTTCTGGCCTCTATCTTTCCCATTACACTTTGCTACTATTGGTTGTTTTTATTTATTACTTCTGTAAGTTGTTCTAGGTTATCTCTATGCTGAGGATCATTGCAATATGTAAACTTAAAGTTTTGTCAGCATTTTTCCCCCTTGACCTATGCCTTTCCTTTGTCATGTCTGGTCACTTCTTAATTTTCTCTGGATATGCAGTTACTTTAAAATGTTTCTGTCTTTGATGTCTGACCCCCAAAATGAAAAAAAAAAAAAAAAAAAAAGACAAACAATGTAAAAGGTGCTGGCCTTCAAAATCTTCTGTGGTCATTTCAGCTGGGAGGGAACTGTGCATAATGGAGCAGCAATGGAACAATGGCGCTGGATCCTTTGTACCTCTGTGATCAGAAGGTGTAATCAATCACCCCATCAGGGCAGGATCTGAAACAGTGGTAGAGTAGAGATCCCTGATGTTTGGATGACAAGGTCTTTCTGGTTCATCCTAGTTTTGGCAAGCTGATTGTAAACATCTTTAATTCGTGTACACAGCTGCCTACCATGGAGCTGAGGCGTAAGGGTTGGTAGTCACTAGTGAACTAAGAGCTAAAATTGAACAAAATTAATTGAGATTCACCATTTAAGACTTCTTCTGGAAGTTGTAAGTCTTCAGAGAACCAAATTAGTTTTATCAGCCAGATCCTGCCAGTAGTGCACTTATTATCTAGGCAGGGAGGCAGAGTCCCACTGTTACCTATTCTGCCAGCTTCCTGGGATCTTCTGCAATCTATCTTTTAATAGTAGCAAAAAAATTCAGATACGTCTAACCTGTGGCTCAGAGGCCACATGCACCCCAGGATAGCTATGGATGTGGCCCAGCACAAAATTGCAAGTTTGCATAAAACGTTATGAGATTCTTTTTGGTGATTGTCAAAAACCTTGATTGTGCAGTCTCAAGCGTGAACTTTGCTTATGACAATGTTGTGCTGCAATATTAAGATGATGGTATGCTTGCAAGTTTGATTTTTATTTATTTATTTTTTGGTCTTTTTGAGACAGGGTCTCCCTGTAGCCCCCACTGGCCTGGAACTCACAATGTAGACCAGGCTGGCCTTGAACTCGCAGAAAATATTTTATTTATTATTTTTATTTTATGTGTATGAGTATATTGCCTGGATGTATGTAAGTGCACCTATATCATGCAATGCCAACAGAGGTCAAAAGAGGCATTAGATTCCCCTGGAACTGGAGTTACGAATGGTTGCTAGCCGCCATGTGGGTGCTGGGAATCGAAACTGGGTCCTTGCTAAAGCAGTCAATGCTCTTACTCTTAACTGCTGAGCCATCTCTCTAGCCCTGTTCCCCGACTTTTATGATTATTTTGACATGGAGTTCAAAAAACTTTATAGAAAATATAACATTTAAAAAATATCTTTCATGTTTAAGGCATTGAAAATTGTTTGGTATATGGTACTAACTTTATTACTTAAAAAAAACATAATAGCTATTGGTATATTATATAGTGAATGACCTATTCCTGAGGTTATCTTTATCATATAATAAGTCCATATACATGTCAGATAAGATTGATGTTAGTTTATAAAAGTAGCACTATGCTATATGTAATTTTCTGTCTCTTTTTCACTTAACTTTATTTCCTAAGACTCATCAGGTTGTTACATGCACTAACAATATATTAATCTTCAGTTACAGGTTTCTCACATATTGAAGGCAAATATTTACTTTTTATTTTTTAATATTATTTTTAATATTATTCATATTCTAATGAATTAGAATCTTCTGGAGTGAGCTCCAAAACTGTGCAGCACTCTAGGTGATTCTGATAATCAGGAAAGTTTAAGGAGTGCTGCTCCAGAGGACATGTGTAGGAGTGGAACTGCTGTGTCACATGCAGGTGTAGGAATATTCACCTTTGGGCTCATGCCTGTTTTCCAGGGCGGCATCAGTGATTGCAGCTCACACTCCTTCCAGCATATGTATGTACTTGCTAATGCCAGTTGCTTTCATATTTTATAACTTCTGTCAATCTAGAGGGCATAAAATTGTAGTTCTTTCTATATGTTATTGAAGAAATCTTTTCCAAGTTTATAAAGCTATTATATATGTCCATTTAAAACTTTTAAAGTGTTTTTTTTCTTTCATGATTAAGTTTTAAATCAATCTAGGATGGGTCTGGCTGCAGGCATTAGGTACGTATCTATTTCCATATTTTTGCATATCAATGGTCAACTATGGCCACGTCATCTGTTTACTGGCCTCTTCATTCTTTTTGCTTGTTTGTTTTATGAGATAGGGTCTCATTACCTAGCCTAGGCTGGTCTCAAACTCATGATCCTCCTGCTCTACCCTCCCATGTGCTATTATTACAGGCATATTCCACCAAGCCTGGCTTGGGTCTATCCATTCTTTAGTAATTTGTAATGTCCTTTGTATCCCACATTTAACTTCCTCACACTCATGGGTCTGTTTCTCTAGGCTCTCTGTTCTGCTCCATTTTTCTGGGCCATACGAATACCATGCTGTTTTAATTATTACTGTTTTATGTTTTATCTTAAAATTTAGTAGAGTAAGTCTTCTAACCTGTTCTTCAGGAATAGCTTTGTTAAATTTGGGCCTTTGCTCAGGGATGTTTTAGGATCAAATTATCCAGTATCTAAACAAAAATCTGTTAGCAGTTTGGAATTACAATTAATTTATAACTCAAAAAAGGAGAGTTTACATTTTATGATATTAAAACTTCTTATCCAGAACTATGGCAGGAACGAACAAAGGACTTCTGGGTGGCATCTTCTCTCTTCTCTCTCTCTCTGCTTTAAAGGAGAGAGACCAGTTCACAATTATGTGATTTTTTTCTATTAAAAATTATTTTATATATTTTATAATGGAAATAAATATTGGTGAAAAGACTATGGGAACTTTTTAAAGCTGAGAGCGTGAAATCAGAAAACATTTTTCAGAGTTTTCTAGTAATGATTTGGTAGTAAGCATAGCAATAAAGAGAAGCCAGTGTTAGCGTCACACTTGGTCTGTTGGCAGACTCACTGATTTTCCATTAGCAGAGAGGCTCCGTCAAAGCGCTTCTGCATGCCTTCCTCCCTGCCTGTCCACTTGCTATTCATCTGTGAAGGATCTCTTTCCTTCCATTTCCAGAAGTGCACATCACTGAGCTTTATTTTCCACCTCCCACCCCAATTCTGAGGCAATGTGTCCCAGTAAAATGTGTGATCTAGGTAATAGTTACAGGTTTCTCGCATATTGAAGGCAAATATTTACTTTTCATTTTTTAAAATATCAGTTCATAATGAGTTCTTTTTCACAATTATGAATACATTCCACTTATATAAGCATAAATAAAATTGTACATATGTAGTGACTCCTGCATATTTCTTAAGGGAATATATGAAAAAGTAGGAAAATATACACAAAACCGTTAGGAGAATAAGCAGCATACATTCATATTTATACCAACAAAGACACTGGGCGAAAGAATATAACACGTTTTCAGACAGCAAAAGTCATTAACACGGAAATAAAATATTGTGACCTTTTACGTCAATAGTGAAAAATTCCCAAAGGAAGGAATGCATTGCAATTTCCAA